CTATGTGCTCACCACAATGCTCTTTGCTCCTTGGCAAACACAATGCTTTACTCAGAACTGTGGAAGTTCTAATCGCTCTAATACACTGATTTGTTTTTGTTATACTAGAATTAATCTCTTCCTTGCTTCCCACAGCAAGGAATGAAGTGATGCTTCTTTTGGAACTCTAAGAAGTTGACTTCTTCCAGGTGTATATACAAGTTAGTGATTTTTTTTTAAAGATTTATTTTTATTGACTTGACAGGCAGAGTTATAGAGAGGGAGGTCTTCCATCTGCTAGTTCACTCCCCAAATGGCCTCAACTGCCAGAACTGGGTCAGGCTGAAGCCAGGACTGAGGAGATTCATCTGTGTCTCCCACATGGGTGCGGAGGCCCAATCACTTGGGCCATCTGCTGCTGCTTTCCAAGGTGCATTACCAGGGAGCTGGATCAGAAGTGGAGCATCTGAGACATGATCCAGCACCCATATGGGATGCTGGCATCACAGGCCGCAGTTTTACCTGCTATAGCACAACACTGGCCGCATCGTTCATGATTTTAAAGAGCTGGATTTTTGGTAGCTGGTATTATGGTGTAGAGGGTTAAGCAGCCACCTTCATTGTGGCAACCCGAATGGGTGCCAGGTAGTGTCCTAGCTACTCCACTTCCAGTCCAACTTCTTGCTAATGGCCTGCGAAAAGTAGTGGAAGTAGTGGAAGATGACCCAAGTGTTTGGGCCCCTGCCACCCACACGGGAGACCTAGATAAAGCTTCTGGCTTCAGTCTGCAACAGCTCCGGCCATTGCTGCCTTCTGGGGAGTCAATCAGCAGATGGAAGATCTCTCTCTTTGTCTCTCTGGCTCTGTCCCTAACTCTGACTTTCAAAAAAATAAAAAATAAAGATCGCAAGAGGTATTTTTGAAAGTTTTATTCTGAACTACCTACTCTGCAAAAGATACTATGTTAGTTGGTCACATGGCAAAATTATACTGTCCCATACACCATCATCTCTAATATCAGATCAATACATAATCTAGGTATCACTTCAAAATTTACCTAACTGGATAAAAGATCTAGAAATAAATACCAAAATTCCAGCAACAGAAAATATAGCATGTAGAGTATATTTTTGTTCATCTCAAGAGTTCTTCAAATATATATAGAAATTAAAATTAATGTAAATTGTGAGGCACTGTACTATTAATAGTTCAATAGGACTGAGTGTGAAAGTAGTGATCTATCAAGCAATAAAAATCTGCCAGTTCATTTTAATTGATAGTCTCCAACAAAGTTCTCGAGGGCATCTTTAGTGGTTTGTACATTCTTTAAGCTAGACCATTTGAGTCAAGGCATTGAGATTTAATAGTAAAAGTTTGAGTATGCATTTTCTTTTTATCTCATGACATCAATGAAGATTCATTCTCTGGAGGGATAGAGACTTTCAAACCATTTAATGCTAATAAAAGTATAAATCTGTAATTAGGGAAGTTAAATTTTAGATTAAACTAGTAATACATATTTAAAGACATATCCTAAGATCCCTCCTTCTTTTTTATAATTGGAAGTTTTAGGAATTTCAGTATTGAAATTTTCAGTATGGTTTGATTTCTCTGAACATCCTCCTACCCCTCATTAGACTCCTTATCATACTGTTGGCATTTACACTATTAATTTAAGATGGAAGAGACAAACTTCTTCCTAAAGAGTTGAATGCTTGAACTTGAGACATGACATGCCTAGTTCAAATCGCAGCTGTTCTGCAGTTCTGATCCAGCTTCCTGCTAATGTCCCTAGGAAATTATGACTCATGTTTTGGCACCTGCCACCCATGTGGGAGAATGAGATGGAGTTCCTGGCTCCTGGATTTGGCCTGGCCCATACCTGGCTTTTGCAGAAATTTACTGAGTGAACTAGAGGATGGAAAATCTGTCTGAGGCTGGTGCAGTGGTGCAGCTGGTTAAAGCCCCGGCCTGAAGTGCCGGCATCCCATATGGGTGCCCGTTCTAGTCCCGGCTGCTCCACTTCTGATCCAGCTTTCTATTATGGCCTGGGATAGCAGTGGAAGTTGGCCCAAGTCCTTGGACCCTTGCACCCTTGTGGAAGACCTGGAGGAAGCTCCTGGCTCCTGGCTTCAGATAGGCTCAGTTCTGGCCATTGCAGCGATTTGGGGTGTGAACCAGCAGATGGAAGACCTCTCTCTCTCTCTCTCTACTTTTCTCTGAGACTCTGTCTTTCAAATAAGTAAAGATAAATCTTAAAAAAAAAGAAAATCTCTGTCTCTTCCTCTCTCATTATCCTCTCTGTCTTTCAAATAAATAAATAATCTTTAAATAAAAACAAGAGAATATCATCTGGTAATGTGTTTTCACAAAAGCACAAACTCAACACCTAATATTCACGTGTTCAAATCTTGAAGTTATTTTTTCTTCCTCAAATATTTTACATAACAGTCACCATATTTAAACTCAATTTGACATTTCCATTAAGACATGACTAACTTGTAAGTTCTCTGTAGTTCCCAATGTTATCAAATGGACTTGAAAAGCTGGCCCATAGAAGACTACTTTCACTGTTACAAAGGGAGTTGAGTGTGAGAATGTCATTGCCAGATGGTAAATAGCATCTTCCTGAACTATTGTTCTCTCAGGCTTTCGACAGGTGGTTGGTGATATGTATTCAACCAAAACAGCAACAACAAAATTTCACACTGACTGCAGAATACCAGAATTATTTTAGGCTTTAAAGAGAGTTTCAGATAGAATTAGATCAGTTTATACTACAGGTCATGATAAGTATCGCTGCCTTTTAAAGAAGGAAACTAAAATAAGTGGTTCTTGATTTGGTGACTTGCTAATATCAATATTTTCACCCTGAGAGACTAAACAGACCTCCTATGGTTGTCAGTGATCTTTAATAGAGTGCATAACCTGATACCTTAGTAATTGCTCAAGGAAGTGGTTGAATAAACCAAAAATGGACATATAAGCAAAAGGCTCAATAAATTTTTACCACTCATGAAATTATTTGTCCAAGGAACTTTTAGTTTATTTATTTTTCCCAGCTTTCTGATAAGTGAAATAGACAATATGTCTATCTCAGAGTGAATGTTAGTTAGACTTAAAGAAAAAGGTATGTGAAAACACTTATCAGATAAAAAAGGTGACAAGGTCATTGGGATAGCTGCAAAAATATTATTATATATTTCTTAAAAGAAAAGATTTATTTGAAAGGCAGAGTTAGAGTGGGAGTGACAGAGAGAGAGTCTTCCATCCTCTGTTTCACTCTCTAAATGGGTGTAACAGCTGAAGCCAAGAGCCAGGAGCTTCTTCTGCATCTTCCATGTGGGTGTAGGGGCCCAAACACTTTGTCCTCTACTGCTTTCCCAGGTGTTTTTGCAGGAAACTGTACCAGAAGTGGAGCCCCTGAGATTTGAACCTGTGCGCATAAGGCAATGGCTTTACCTGCTACACCAAAGTGCTGCCCCCATTATATATTTCTTAAAATGTGGAAGTAAACATTTAATATTAGAAAAAATACATTTTAATCATTTAAAAATTAACATAAGATTTAAGGCCTTTAAACATTAGAATTGGTAGTATTTATAAAACTTATAAAAGTTGGACATGCAAAATTTAGAGGAGGAAAAATTAGAACAGGTAATAATGGCATTTGACTTTGCACATCCCTGGAGTAATGTCACAAGTCTGACATCGTTAAAAGCTAAACAGAGAAAAACACAGAGCAACAGTTTTAGAATATAAAGTTGAGAAAACATTAAGTGTGTAAAGCAACACCGTTTTTCTTAATGCTGGGCATGTTTCATAAAGATACAAAGTAATTAATGAAAAGTCCTTGAAAACAATTTTAGAACAAAAGCATTAAAGGATTTGAGTGATTTTGGAGTCCATCTCTAATAGAGACAGGTATTGAAAATGGAGCTCTTTGAGAATCTAGATCACTGCAGTATTTTATTCTATTTCTCTACAGTGACTATTGAAAATAAATCACATTTAGATGTCATTTTAATCTCTTCTAATACCAGTAGTGAATAAAGAAAAAATAATTTGAATCCTTTTTGTTTTTAAAATATGTGTGGGCAAGGGGAGGGTTGCGGGTGAGAGGGACGTTATTGGGGGGAAGCCATTGTAATCCATAAGCTGTACTTTGGAAATTTATATTCATTAAATAAAAGTTTAAAAAAAAGAAAAGGGGGTCAAAGAATAATAAAATTAAAATATTAAAAATAAAAAAATATTTGTGTGGTAGAATGGAAATTAACTCAAATAAGTATATAAGATAATTCCAAAGTGTGATTAGTTGTATGTGTGAGATTTGGAAGAGCCATGAAATAAAGTGGGAATGGAATTATCTGTGTGGAAGGTATTTGATGGCTGCATTAGCAAGGATGATTAAACAAAATCCTTAAGGAGCTGGAGTTTGTGGCATGGTGGCTTAAGCTGCCACTGAGTCCTCGACATCTCATATGGACATCAGATCATGTCCTGCCTGCTCCACTTGTATTTCAGCTCCCTGCTCATGTGCCCGGAAAAGCAGCGAAGATAACCCAAGTACTTGGGACCTTGCCAATCTTGCAGAGACAGAAACTGCTAGATCCTGTCTGATGTAGCCCTAGGTCTCATTTGGGGAGTGAACCAGTGGATGGAAATTGGGCTTTCCCTCTCTTTCTTTCTCTAACTCTGCCTTAGGGAAAAAAAAATGATTCTTTAAACAAATAATTAAAATTTAAGTAAAATTTTAGCCTGAAACAAAAAAAAAATAGTATAAGCAGCCATGGTAAATCCAGAGGAAATGCCTTTCAAGGTGAGAGAACAGAATGTTGAAAGGACCAGAACATAAATGAGGTTGTTATAGTCAAGGAAGAAATAAGGTAAAAATATGTAGAGTGCAACAGATGGAGGGGCAGTATGAGATGAATTTGAAGAAGTGGACAGAAATCAGACCACGTGTGACCCTGCTTAGCAATTTTACATTCCATTTTATTTTGTGATGGGAACTTAATATGTCTCTGCAGATGTCCCAAATACTTGGGCTATCTTCCTTCAAGGACAAGTACAAGCAGATCTTCTTGGGGGGCGTGGATCGGCATAAGCAGTTCTGGCGCTACTTCGCCAGTAACCTGGCCTCCGGTGGGGCAGCTGGGGCCACCTCCCTCTGCTTTGTCTACCTGCTGGACTTTGCCAGGACCAGGTTGGCTGCCAATGTGGGTAAGGGTGCCGCCCAGCGTGAGTTCAGTGGTCTGGGCAACTGTCTGACCAAGATCTTCAAGTCTGATGGCCTGAGGGGTCTCTACCAGGGTTTCAATGTGTCTGTGCAAGGCATCATTATCTACAGAGCTGCCTACTTCAGAGTCTATGATACTGCCAAGGAGATGTTGCCTGACCCCAAGAATGTGCACATTATCATGAGCTGGATGATTGCCCAGAGCGTGACGGCGGTGGCCGGGCTGGTGTCCTACCCCTTTGACACTGTTCGTCGTAGGATGATGATGCAGTCTGGCCAGAAAGGTGCTGACATTATGTACACGGGGACAGTTGACTGCTGGAGGAAGATTGCAAAAGATGAAGGAGCCAAGGCTTTGTTCAAAGGTGCTTGGTCCAATGTGTTGAGAGCCATGGGTGGCACTTTTGTATTGCTGTTGTATGATGAGATCAAAAAATATGTCTAATGCAGTCAAAAATCAAGTTCGTTGATTCACAGGGAACTTGGATCACCAGTTCACAGATCCATTACGTGGTTAAATAGACAATTCTGGGGGGAAGTAAAAAGATCTGAAATACCAGACTGAAAGGAATACCTCAGAAAAAAACTGCTTCATTAAGTGTTCGTTGACCCACAAATGTATTTTGTATTTATTTTACATTTGAATCCCCACAGCAAATAGCAAATAACTTATCATACTTGCATGATTGTCTGAAGAATTAATAATGAAGAAATAACTGAATGTAAACATCAATAAAGATCACTTAATGCATCTTATCCAAAAAAAAAAAATATAGTCAATGGAGGTTAACACCAGCTAGTCAATTGTAGTTCAATAAAATCTGTATTTTCTCTCATTTTTATTTCATAATTGATCAAATCTTTTCTACATGGATGTGAAGAAGTAATTTAAAATATTGTAATTTTGTCTGCGCATGTGGGAAGATGGCCAAGAAGATTCTCAAATCTGTGCTGTTTGTGTGTATAGTAAAATGTTGTTGCAGAAGCTGTTTTCAAAAAGCTTGTAACCAGTTAATACATTCTATACAGTATGGCTGTTATCACTTAAGAGATAGGAAACCTCCTGTCTATCGAAAGCAGGCATGTTGTACCCAGGAACCACGTGACCTAAGAGGTTACCAAAGAAAACTTTGCCACATTTCAATATGCATCATGGATAGATAACAAAAATTGAAGAGATTTGAGTCAAAAATGAATCGTTAGAAACTGCAAATCTGAAACTGAACAACTTGGGTACTGTGATACACAGAAATAGTGTATCCCCTATTATTCTTTCAGATAGTGTAGGAGCAGTGTGTCACCTGCTGCATGGACTTCCTATAACATCTATTGCCAAATAAATATGGATGTATATCAAAAATTATTGTTTTCAAAATAAACTGGGAATTTAAAAGATATTGCCATTATATTATATATATTTTTTTCAGAAAATCTGTAAATCAAACTAGTTTGAAACCCTGATACTGAAATGAATAGGTGAACACCTACAAATACTTGGGTAAAATGTTTCATGAATGGGTTCATGATTTATAGTACATCTGCAAACTTTTGTCAAGTGTTATCAAGATACTTCACAATGATCTTTATAATTAAGCTAATTGAAAAAATCTGGAGGAGACACATTGACAGCAGTTTATTGTCTAAATAGAATTGTAAATTGGGCAGTAGCTATTCATGCATCCTTTTGACACTCATAGACAGCAATATGCTCTTTACTTTGCTCAGTAAGTCAATTTTATAAAAAGTGAGTCTTTAAATGTTCATCTCTATACAACTAAAATAAGCATTCAACCATCAGCTTCACTGTTAACTCCAGTAAGACCAAGAAAACATGATGTAGTTTCAGCAACTAATTTTAACTCTGGTTACAAACAATTTGTCATTTTTATACTGATAATTTTAACAGAAAAATAAAATACAGCTCTCTAGGCAGAGATCCTGTTAAAAAGTGTATAGACCTTGTGTACCCAGTGACAACACAGATGATAAATATGGACCAGGCCCATGAGAAAAATTCCCCAGCTTTGCTGCACTAGTGTACTCATTATGCTGGCATATAAAAAGACCATGTGCTCTGAAAATGAAACCTAAGTGATCTACTCGTCATCTTACTTCTTCATAGGTCACATGAATATTTTTCTATCAGGAAATAGGGAGTTCTAAATGTACATTTAAAAATTCAATTTGATATTTTTTAAGTGTACACTATATGAAAGGATCTTTGCTAGGCATGGAGATAAAAACCATGTAGGCTATGTCTTTTATTTAAAATTTTCAGTCTAGAAATTTGTTAAGATGTTATACTTTTAGTTAATTAAATAAGAGATAAATTTCAGCCCTGATTTTAGGCCAAAAGTTAAAACTTTGAAGACCATCAGTCTTTTTACTATGCAGATCTGTCCATAGTAATTTGTATGTATATATATATATATAAATATTTAATATTCATTATAAGTATCTGAGTTTTCCTAAGTAAATATTTGCATCATGACTTCTAATACTATTGAGCATTTCATCAATTTGTTGAAAGACACACAGGAAAGATTCTTTGGAAATAAGAATACAAATATATGACATTTTACCTTTTTACAACATTCACTCTTTACATGTTTTTAGCATAGCAGATTAACAGATGCTAAAAGAATAAACCTAAGTTTTTGCTCAACTTATTTCACATTATTAATTATTATGGTCATCTGTGAAAATCCAATGCCTTCTTCTGTTTAGACCGGTATAAACCTATGGTATGTTTGCAGCAGCACTGTAAATTTAAAATTATAATCCTTTCCTGATTATCCATACTACTGCCAATGCTTATTATTAAATAAAGCTATAGCTTTTATTTAGTAAAATCAATTTCTCTTGTATTCATATTGGACTTCATAGAAGGCGGCATTGGCTTTTCATAGATTGCCATTAATGATTAATAATGTGCAACATGTTGGGCAAAAACTTAGGTTTATGCTTTCAGCATCTATTATTCTGCTATGCCAAAAACTTGTAAAGATTGAATGCTGTGGTACAGCAGGTTAATCTGCCACTTGGGAAGTCTGCATCTCATGTTAGAGAGTCAGTTGGAGTCCTGGGTCCTCTGTTTTCAATTCATCTTCCTATCAGTGCACCTGGGAAGTCAGTGGGAATGGTCCAAGTGCTTGACTCCCTGTCACCCACATGTAAGATCTGAATGGAGTTCCTGGTTCTTGGTTTCATCCTGGCATAGCACTGCAAAAACAATCAATGCCTTAAATTATATTTTAAATGCTTAAATTAAAAGCAAATAAATAGTGCAAAAGAATAATTTTGGTTTTATGTAGAAAATAAAAATTTTGGTTTTTCATTAGTTTTTCTATGACTATAGGCAAACAATTTTATCTTCAACATGCTTGGTTCATTTGTTGTTATTTGAATGTTCTCTAGCAACATTTTATGTTAGGATTTGACTACAGAGACCACACTCTTATCTAGCAAATTCTTGAAATAAGAGGAAGATTTCTTCAGACTTCACAGTGACTTGGTGAAAAAAGCTTCCACAATAAACCTCCTTGCTTAGATTCAATAATAAAGTAAGAAACAGTCATCTGATTTTTAAGACTATTGCCTGTTGTGATAATTCAGTTCATGAAGCAATCATTTATGGGTGATGATATACTACATTTCTGAAATCTGGCTAAGATCCTGCTTAAGACACTTGTGTTCCATTCCAGGGTACTTGAGTTTGAGTCCTGCTCTGCTTCTGACTCCATCTTCCTGGTAAAGCAGACCCTAGCAGGCAGTGCTTATGACTCAGTTAGGTACCTGCTTCTGAACATGGGACACCTGAATTTAGTTCCTAGCTCCCAAATTTTGCCTCCCCCAGTCCTGGCTGTTATCACTACCTGGGTTGTGATCCAGCAGATGAGAGCTCAATGTGTGTGTGTGTGTGTGTGTGTGTGAGAGAGAGAGAGAGAGAGAGAGAGAGATTTCTTTATTATTCTGCTGTGTCAACTGGCTAAGGTACACAGTCTTTTTGACATGGTCTAAAATCTTGTGAAAATAAAAGTTAAACTGGCAGCAAATTGATTGTAATGTATTCTGCAGAGTCTCTGGAAATTTTCAATGTTCAATGAATTAACCATAATAAGAATATTATAAGAAGAAGTTGACCATAGTAAGAATATTAATCTTGTTGGTATACAACTTCCTATATTTATTCACCCATTACTATTTCCATCAACTTTCAATGTGCAACTTCAGATGGCCAGAATAAATTTGAGGAAGATGGCCCTAAAACTTGGATGTTAGAATGCTAAAATGGAGAGCAAAAATAATTTTCTGAAATTGCTAGTATTCAGAAAAAAAATTGTATTTCCAAACCCACAAAGACTCATCTTATTAATATTGATGTTTCAAGTTTTTTCTTGTATGCTAAAAACCTTATAATCACTTATTCATTCCCTTAAAAATAAAAGCAAAAATAAAGGACCAGTGTTGTGGTGCAACAGGTTAATCTGCTTTCTGTGATGCTGGTATCCTATAAGAGCACTGAATTGAGTCCCAGCTGCTCCACTTCCAATCCAACTTCCTGCTTATATACCTGGGAAAGAAATGCAAGATTGACTGCCTGGATTTCTGCAGTCTCCCATGTGGGAGAAGTGGATGGAGTTCCAGGCTCCTGGCCTCAGTCTGGTCCAGCCAGCCATTTGGGGACTGAACCAATAGATAGAAGATTCCTTCTCTCCCTCTCTTCCTTCCTCCTTCCCTCCTCCGTCCTTTTCTTCCTTCCCCCCACTCCCTCCCTTTTTCCCTCTTTCCCTCACTCCTCCTCCTCCTCTTTTTCCTCCTTCTCTCTGCAGCTTTCAAGTAACTAAATCTTTTTAAAAAGAGCAAAAATTAATGGAATATCATTCTACAAAACAAATGAATACAGATACAAATACAAATGAAATCATTGATGGAATTAGTTTGAGGAAGTAAAACATTAATTTTGTCAATATTGGATGTATTAAAGGCTTCTAACTTGAGACTGTAAAGCTCCCTTTCATGTTTTGACATGACACTTGTATAGATCAGAATTTAAAAAACAGTATAGTAGCAGTCTTTTACATATAGAAAATATATAAAGGGGTTCTTCAAAGTGTTTATGGAAAATGTGTATTATGAAAAAGTGCAAGAAATTCAAAAATTTTGCACCAAAATAAACTTATCCCTTAATCTATTTTCCATGCACTTTTTTAAAAATTTATTTGACAGGTAGAGTTATACATAGTGAGAGAGAGAGAGACAGAGAGAAAGGTCTTCATTCCGTTGGTTCAATCCCCAAATGGACGCTATGGCTAGAGCTGCACCGATCCAAAGCCAGGAGCCAGGAGCTTCTTCCTGGTCTCCCATGTGTGTGCAGGGGCCCAAGCACTTGGGCCATCCTCTACTGCCTTCCCAGGCCACAGCAGAGAGCTGAACTGGAAGAGGAGCAACTGGGACTGGAACCTGGCGCCCATATGGGATGCCGGCGCCACAGGCAGAGGGTTAGCCAAGGAGCCACAGCGCCGGCCCCCTCCACGCACTTTTGAAGTAGGCTCATATATATCCCCAAAATA